AGGGTTAGGGGGGGGGGATCCAATCACCACAGTTTGTATGTGGGTGTGTGTAGTGTATTTGGATGACATGGTTTGTGTGTGTGGCATGTGCGTGTGCAGTCTAGCTGCACCCTGTTTGACAGGACTAAGCTATAAATAAATCAAATATGGATATTTATTTATAAACATTCATATTATTTTATGCAAAAAAGGTCAACAGGTCTACTACCAGGACAAAAACACTCCACCAGCTCCCAAACTTTTCCAAAGCAAAATAAGAAAAGGAAAAAGCAAACAAAAAGGACAAACCTCAACCTTGTCCACGCTTCCATCTCCATTAACCCCTCATTAACCCCACATACCTGCTCATACTCACAACAATAACAAACTACTGCAACTTAAACAGTGACACTAATTCATGACGTACTAGTGTACAAGCACAGTACTGCATTTTTAGAACACCAACGATAAAATATGACACCAACCTCTGATGATGTTATCGAACAAACGTGCTGTTAAAGTTAAATAAATTTTGTTCTATCACTAGCTATCACAATTTGCCCCACCCAACAAATGGATGGGATTGGTGCACTGCTATGCAACATAACCCTGGGCTGTCCACGGCTTTGAGACTGTCATTGGTGCACTGCAATTTCAAGAAAGAAAAAAAAGGGAAAAAAAGGCAGGACTTTTTTATTTAGCAGTGGAGGTCAATGCTACAGAGGCTTTGGATACACTAGTCGTCTTGTTTAGTTGGGTCACTTCATTGTTATTTTAATTAGTTGGATTTGTTGCAAAGAAATACAACATACAATAAAACCAACCTTTAATATTTACTAGCATTAAACAAACAAAAAGTCCCCAACTGTTTCATTAGACTGCAATCTTATCTGTAATTAAAATTTCTGAGATTCTGCTACTTCTGTGTCAGGCTGACCTGACTGAATGAAAGGTTCCACGCTGCCTCCATATAATCTTACAAATATATTACGTTACCTTTGCAAATGGTAAATACAAATTTACACAGATGCACCTCAATTTATTTTGAGTTTTCACAACACAGATTGGACTGATCAGCTCTTTGGTCAGTAAACTACGATCCTACCAAATTTCTCAACTGTTGGACAACTGATGGTTGGACAACTGGTATGGTTACACTCATAATGAGAAAGACAGTACATCAATTCAGCCAAAAAAAACAAACAAACAAACAAAAACAAAACAACCCCAAACACTTTTGCAGCAGTTTTCATTTTAACAGCTCAGCTACCACCCAAGCCATATCCTCTGAAAACTGTAAACCAACTTGTCTGTGTTAGAACATTTAACACTTCAGCCAATGAGTGTCAGAACTGATATATTTCCAAATGTTTAATTTTATAATACTTTTTTTTTTTTTAAAGAGCACACACATCCAGCAAGAGTTTTACTAACTCCATCATCCAAGGGCAGAAGCTGCTCCTCCTAAACCAACTAGATATGAAGCCTACTCCCTTACAAAAGGAAAAAGGGCTCAGAGTCATATGTTATGATTTCACTTCCCTTTCAGTGAATTCACTTGGAACAAAACATACAGTTTGAGATATTATAATGACACGTCCTCGCTGAAGACACCTCGAGTCACGCATATGACCTGTGAAGACATATGCGAGGCCTCCGCCTGCACATGTACCCCTCTGATCACAGTCACCCCTCAGTTGTTAGACTCTGGCTGGCTATCTACTGCAGGTAAACTCTTTTGTCCACAGACTCTAAGTCAGGCCCTGTTGATGTTAGCCAAAACTACACAGTTGGCATGTCGGCCACATGTGAAATGTTAACTGCATGTTTTGTTGCCAGGTTCGGTGCTAAACCTTGGACAATATCATCCCCAGGTGTGATACGAATCCAAAGCCAGAGCTGGCTCTCACATGGCTGCAGTTCTGCCATCTATCCCCAAGAGAGCAACACATCTGCTGCTGTGGTTACGCTGCTGTGAATACAGCCTCCAAGCAAAGGTCCACCTTCAGGGCTCCAGAGACAACTGACGCCTCAAAGGAACAACCTTCAGTCCTCTTAGCTATGGGACAGAGTTGAGAGGGGCTCCAGCAGCAGGGAGACACTCCTTCCTCCTATCTGTTGTTTTAGAAGGCACTACAGGTCGCTAGTCATCTCTGCACACTTTTGTTTGACTCTGTTATTTGAATGCTAGATTGTGGCCTTTCTGCTGGGTCTGCCATGCCCCAGGGTGCTGGTGGTCCAACTTCAGTTCAATGACTGCTCTGAGGGCCATGTATACATGTCTTGTACTGAATACGTTGAATCGAAATAAAATGTTATGACAATAACTTTTGTTCCCTGAAAAAGAGGACCATGGTACAACATCAAAGCCCTTTTTCCATTAGTTTTTACTCGGATCAGCTCGACACGACGTAGTATGACTCACCATGACTCGTTTTCCATTACAATCCAGTACCAGCTAATGTGTGTGGGGTTGTTAGAGCAATGTGGCCATGCATTGGGGAGCTGCATTGTTTTTTGCAGCTGTTTCCTTCATTTCAAGGTATCAAAAGCGGCAGTTTTGATTTATGTGAAGGAGATGCTCTGATGGCTCATCAAATGACAACACTGATTAGCCAATCGGTGGCATGCAGTCTGCTGATGTCACATTTTGGAATTCCATGGAACCCCACTGGAGTAGGTGCTAAAAACAAAGTGCGTGGTATCGGGTACTATCACCTAATGGAAAACCATGAAAAGTGTGCTAAGCCCACCGAGGAGGTACTAATGGAAAGGGGCTCAAGTTGCAATTGAAGATGAGCTATCAAACTGAGGGATGATTATAAAAACAGGTGTATGTGTGCAGGAGGGGCCTGACATATCTTGTCACAGGTCGTCTACCTTAAATGTAATAACAGAAGCATCTTCAGCCAGAACACAGAGGGGCATGATATCCCATACTGTACTATATACTGTGCTGTACCGCACAGTATATAGTACATATACATAGCACGTATAAGCGTTCTTATACTTCTGTAAAAAAAAACAACGATATAGACACTTTAACACTTTGTTTGAATGTGCTGCTAACACAAGATTTTTATGTCTGTTTATGATTCCTTTAAGCTAGAAAAGCTATTAAGCGTATTCCATTTAATCTGGAGAGAATAGATACCCTGCCTTTTTATATATATTTTTTAAAATGACGCGATATATCTGTGTGCTGTTTTTAAAGATCTCCATCTATACAGTTGAGTAGTTTCAGGTTAAGTGCTAGACAGATTCAGCTCAGAAAGTGTAGAATGCTGTTGGTTTTCATGTCTTCATTCTCAACTTGGGCAGCCTCAAAGTCAACAAACACAAAGGTTTGAATGGTCTCTCCCAAAATTTCTGTATTATATAAACTTCAAACCTCACTCTGACATTCATGCAATAATACACAACAAAATGGCATAACCCCGAACGCACGCACGCACGCACAGGAAAAAGACAAGATGACATCACTGTATCACTCCCCCCACTGATGTTTCACGCTAGGAATGTGGGTAGGAGTGTGTGTGTGTTTCTGAGTGCACATTACACTACCACAACAGCTTGTTGTCTTGGCAACAAGGACAATAACCTCAAACAGAAAAAGTGACAGCGGGGGCCATTGTTGCACATGACTTCATTTCTTTCATTAAAGATGAAAACATACACAGGCACACTTCTACCGAGCAATCTAACTGGCCAATCACGTCTCTTCATTTTTTAGTCAAGAAGAAAATATAATTATGTCAAAGTAAAGTCCTTCATGATGTGCATGTTTCACTTCCTTTTCCACTTAACACAAGGGAGCTACTGGTACTCGGAAGTGAAGGATGGTCACTGCACAGTTGTAAAGAACATGAACACACACACACACAGACACACACACACACACACACACACACACACACACACACACACACACACACACTAATTGCAGCTGCCCTGTGCAATAAGTCAGCCCTGTAGATCAATACAATCCCTCAGTCTCAATGATCTCATCTTCCTCCCCTCACTGTGTATGTGTGGGCGGGTAGGTGTGTGGAACTGTATGGGTGAAGGGAGATGCAGAGAATACAGGGAAGGAGAAATGGAACTCAGAAAGAAGGAGGGAGATTCCATGGTTGGCATTGGCTCAGAGAGATGTTTTTAGCGTCCATTCGTAACACACACACACACACATCTGCATTCATATAAAGCTCTTGAATAAAGAGAGTGTGTGGTAGACTATACACAGTGTGACCAATCCAGCCTTTACAGAGTAGCACAGCAGGCTTCAGCAGGTTTGCCGGTGACAAGAGGCAGTGTGGCTGACGAAGACAGCTGGTGACACCTTAAGGGCATCCACAAGGTCTGGCACCGAGATAACACAAATACACAATGGCAGAGCATGAAATCTGATATGAGATTTAGTTCCTGAGGTCATGAATCAAGGTGTGGTTTGGGGGTGTACTAGAGTGAGCTACAGTGGGCCTAAATATAGAGATGCATAATAGACACGGAGTGGTGCCAGGCTGCAGGGTCTATCTCAGAAGAACCACAAAGTGGAAGTGAGAGACAAAATGGAAGGACGTATGTCAAAATGCCGAATATTCACACGACATCTAGAGAAACTGACTGCTATATTGTTTTTGTTACACTTCAGAATTCAAAAGGCCAGACAAACACACTTCCTTGACTAGCGATTGCTGTTTAAGATAAAAGAACAAAGAGATAAAGATCCATTTGCAGTGAAACTTAAAAGGACAACTTAAAGAAAACAAAGCATAGAGATAGATAAGATATCTCACCTGTGCCAAGGTATCCTTTAAACCGCTCTCCAATGCGATCCACAAATGCCCCACAGATATCTATCCCCAACAACGCCACCTACAAAACAGAATAAGAAAAATCAAACAGTTATAGCGGGCCACACACAAAAATTATTATATTATACATATCAATATACAGTCCGTTTTCTACATCAGTGACAGCAGTGAGAGGAAGAGAAAGGGGAGGAGGATTACATTCGATTCTGACATCCTGAATATTTTTTAAAGACCATAGAGGTTGTTTATTAAGTTTCTACTGACTCAGCAGACAGGTGAGACTGTGAATGATCCTTTTTCCATATTGAGAGTAGGGGTGGGCGGTATAAATGGTATACGACAGAAACGATGTAAATTTGGCCAACGGTAGAGATTTTGACTATACCGCTCTACCACAATAGCGCATGTTGATGGTGTCATTAAGCTGCGCCTGTTTTGGTCAAAAGCATTGCAGCAGCTACAAACAACATCATCTGCAAATTATGCCGGGCGACAGTAATAGCAAAGAGACGAAGCACTTTTGGAAAATGAGGAAAGCCGAAACCTGAGCTTCCTCCACTTCCCTACCCCTCATCAAAGCGTGTGCCAGATTTCGATGTCTCATTATGGAAATTTGTGATCTTTTTTTTTTTCTCATTTGCCCCTAACCACCAGAAACTCTCACGTTAACTTTCAGCGAGTGGAAAAAAGTTAGCGCTCAACCTCCAGCTTCACTGTGCTAACGTTATGCTAACATAGCCGTGTAGCTAGCGATCGCGTAGCATCATTATATACCAGCTAGCCCAACTTCAGTAACCCTACAAACGTCACTGCTGTTTAGTTTTCTGTCTTCATTTATGTTGTATGTTGTTCATTTATGTATAAGTGATAGCAGAGCTGTACGTTTGAATTTTTCAGAAATCTCTCAGTCAGAACATGC